TATTACAAGGAGTACATGTACATTGTGAACATTTGGAAGCATGCTTCATAAATTTTAAAAAATGTGCGAAACTTTGCATTAATGGTAACTTTCCAAATAAAATAAACATACGGATATGCATTGAATTTCAAATCTTAAGAGAAGATACAAGGACATTCCTTGACACGTGTTATGATGTACTCCATTAATGCTTAATCTAACACATGAGAAATTATACTTCTTCAAAAGAGTATATTATCCATTAACGCTTTCATGTGAAATTCAACTTATGAGGCTATTTGAGTATTTTTTTTAACTTCATCTTTGACAAAACAACCTCTTCAACTCCTACACCAACCTAATTCCATTTATTTGACTATTATATGCAAAAAATAATAGCTTAATATTAAAGAGAGACAATCACCATCTATATAACAAGGAGTACATGTACATTAGGCTCTCTCGAGAGCACATGACAATAAATTCTAGGAAATGCACAATGATATCTTTCCAACTCATAAATAAAATATGCGGACATGCTTGCATTGAATTCCAAATCTTAAGATAAAACATACATGCATGCATTGAAATCCAAACCTTAAGAGAAAACATAGACCTGCCTTTTCGTTGATGGGTAAGATGGTTTTCACTTCAGCTAAATATAGCTAGGTAACATGGATGGCTACGGTCACAGGGGTAGAAATAAAGGAAGATACGTCTTCTTCCTTGGAGCGGTAATACAGGCCGGGGACCAAGACATCGTTTTGGCATGAGTCCCAGGAGTTGTGCCGTGCGCACCATCTTCAATCGAATATAGCTAGGTAACATGCATGGCTACGGTCACAGGGGTAGAAATAAAGGAAGATATGTCTGATGTTGGTAGAGAGAACTGGGATATGCACGGAAGGGGGTTTTAAGAATTTTAGCAGAGGTCTCAGACAATGGATATGTTTAGTACCTGGGACGTTATAAGATTGCATTGGCTTAGGTACTTAAAGCATTTGATGGAAGGGCGTTCTTACCTCTTGTTTCCTTCTAAAACTTAGATGATGCATAGTGTTCCGGTTGATGTTCTTGGCCCTACAGAGGAGAAGGTTCTTGCAGAGGGAGAGGTGTAGAATTCCCCTAAGACTGTGGCAGGGTCTAATATGGAGAAAGATGATGCCGACGAACCAGAGATGCAGTATGTGGATTTAGAGGAGGACCACAGGGTATGTTTGAAGATATCGCAGTGGGTCTTAATGACCCACTCTCAAAGGTGTATGAAGCTATCAAAGCTAAGAAAAAGGTACAGAACGAAGAGGAACCTCTCTCAAAGGTGTATGAAGTTATCAAAGCTAGGATTAACATAAAGAAGAAAAAGGATTCTAGGGAGTGAGATATATTTTTCAAGTAGGAGGTGTATAGCTCTATAGGAGAGGATCTCGATAAGGAGAAAAATGCCACAACTTGTACTGAGGGCAAGTGTAAACAGAGTGCGACTGTGAGTCAGACAAAATCCTCTTCTATACTAGCTGCCCAGAGGGCTTTTATGCTAGCTCCCCAAAGGCCTGGAACAAGTGGAGGTACCATCATCATCATCATTGATGATTGTGACAATAATTAACATTCTTGCCATGCGATTAGCCCTCCTTATTTTTTAGAGATTATTAGAGTGTTTGAAGTTTGAATGTCAGGTGTTTTGGAGTAATGGGTGCTAGATGCCTCCTGTGTTCTATGTGGTTATGTTATGTGGGATCTGTCCGTTTTGAATAGTATTTCTAGAGTTTGAGGGTTATGTATTCTTTTATTGTCTTTGAACTAAGGTCGTTTCTGTAACTTTAACATTTCTCAGTTTATTTTATAGGGATACAAGATAAAATGTTGGGCACCTTTCCATTTCCTGTCCCAATATTTGATTGGATTTTGTTCATATGTACTTATCTCTCTCTCAAGTCTCATAGGCCCTTTCTCTGTATATATCTCTCTCTCTCCCCCAAGTCTCCTACCCTCTCTCTCAATCCCCTTCAATCATACTTCTAATTTTCTCTCTAGGAGAAAGGAGAGGAGCATTAAAAAATTGGCAATTGAACACAATGCAAAAGCGCCTACATTACTCTTCAAAAATAAACACGGAACGTCCATTGAAAATTGTGGGATTTTAACCCATTTTTTGTTCATATCTTAGAATAACCATCAAGAACCACATACCACATCCAGTTGTCAACCTAATTGGGAATGGGAAATAACTTCCCGGCAACAGAAATTAAGAAAAGCTTGAGTAATAATGCCTAAAGACTGAGAACCCTGGATTACAGGGGTGGCCTGTCGAGTGATGAGAAGCTATGGAGATCATCTTCCCCCATCTGCAGCTAAGGAAATTAAATCAATATGAAAGGAAGTTTCAAAGATTCATGGGCCTAAGACTAATGATAATCAACGTGGAGTCTTAAGTTTTTTTGTTCATAAACAGGAAAGATATGAAATAATGTGGCTTTATTCTTGTAAGGCCATGACCCCAAAATCTCAGAATAATGAAGGTCGGGTCATAAGTTTTTTTCTTCATAAACATGAAAGATATGAAATAATGTAGCTTTATTCTTGTAAGGCCATGACCCCAAAATCACAGAATAATCAAGGTGGGGTCTTAAGATTTTTTGCTCAAAAAAAATGAAAGATATAAAATAATGTAGCCTCATTCATGTAAACCCATGACCAGTAAATCTCCGAATAAACAAGGTGGGATCTTAAGATATTTTGTTTATAAACAAGACATATATGAAATAATGTAGCTTTATTCTTCGAGTCGCCGAGTTACTCGGGATGCCGAGCCCGAGTTGTCAGAGGTCTAATGCGGGAATCTTGAACAAAATTTAAAATAAATTGTAAAAAAAATAAAAAATTAAATAATATATTTGTAAGTTGTAACATGTTTATTTATGTTATCTATCTTTTTCACAAAGATTGGAAAATATTTTGGCCATGAATAGTATTTTTACGTTTTCCCTTTTTTTGTAAAATTTCAAAATACCCCAAGTCACATACTCATTTTTTAAAATATATTTTTTCACTAATTTTTTAAACCACAATTAGTTGTACTTTGTAAGTTTTACTTTGAATATATCTGTCCTATTATTTGATTTTTTTTGTATTTTTTTACTTTTTTTAATAGTTTTCGGCTGCTACAATACTCGGCCCTACTTGGGCTGAGTTACTCGGACTCGGGCGAGTACTCAGCTGCAGCATGGTCTTAGTAGTCAGCCTGAATGAACTTTTCAAAGACTGGTTCTTCCAGAGCCTAAAAACTTAGCGCCTAATATCACCTCCTTACTCAAAAAACACAATTACCGTTTACCCAAATACCTTGATGGATGCAGCCATTCCATGCATGATCTAGTAGCCAATCATAATGAACATGGGTTGTAGACTGCGTGATCTAAGGATACATAAACTGCATAATAAACCAGTGTAGCTAAAATTGCGGCTAGGAAATGTGTTCCTGAAAAAATGGAATCTCAATCTCAATCTCAATCTCAATCTCAATCAATGAGGGCCTCGACTTAAGCGGCCGGATAAGATGGATCGCTTGGTATTAAAATTGCAAACACATATTTGTGGGATCGGGATGCCATATATGGTGATGCTTGCATTCCGTTATTTTGGAATCTAGATCCCAATGCACTCTAGAGCGCGAACAATATGATTAGGGAACTAGATCCTGTATTGTCCAGGAACGCGAGCTTAAATTGTAAGCACCTCGTCCCAATGCACTCTGGAGCACGAACCATAGGATTAGGGAACTAGATCCTGTAACGTCTAGGAACACGAGCATAAATTGTAAGACTTATGTCCCAATGTATTTTGGAGCATGAAAGGTATGATTAGGGAACTAGATTCTGTAATTGTCAGGAACGCGAGCTTAAATTATAAGGACCTCGTTCCCTAACAAAATGAAACGAGATCCTGAAAACTACAAATTGAGTTTCAGAAGAGATCTGCTATGGGATCGAGAGAAGCGAGGTTCTAGAAGGGATCGCCAAGAAAGGGAGGCGATCCCGGTAACTATGGTAAGAACACGCATGCATGCAGGCTGCATACCCGCCCACATGCACGCACACACACACACACACATACGCACACACAAAACTATTTGTGATGACCTTGAGAGCAACTCTAATGAACTCATTAGGTCTAATCTCCAAAGATGCTACACAAATGGTTTCAATATGATCATGTTTAAAGCCCATACAGACATCATAAACAGTTTGATTCAGAATTCATATCAACATCCTCCCCTCCCCATGGTCCTTGGGCAGGGAATGTAAGTCACCACTCACCGCAGTCAAAGCAAGAAACCATGTTGCATACAAAACAAGTTTGCAAAGTTGCTAATTTTCTAAATGGATATAGAAAAGAGTATCCTTACATCCAATACTAAAATTACAAGGGGAAAACACACTATCATGGTTTTTCTCTTTCTTTTCTTTTTTTTGACCAATGCAAAAATGCAGTCATGGTATTGGAGAGCAATAAAATGAGCATGATGCAGAATGAATCATTGCAAGGGTCCTGAAACAAAAAGAGGTATACAAGCTTCTTATAACCACAAATGGAAGTGCCCGCAACAAATTGAAGTTATGTACATTGACTACTTTCCCAGAGAGAATAAAAACTCCATTGAGCCACTCACAAATCCACGACATCAACAACTCAGAATCAGAGTTGAAGATGACATACTTATTATACCTCATAAAATATCCTAATGACGAGCATAATGGTGATACTAATATTACATCAGTAGCATGTATTCATGCCTTAATTAACTTGATACAGAAGTTGAGAAATGCAATTTACAGGTTGAACTGTCACAAGTGAACAAAGTTGACAGATTATGTTTTTGGAACACAACTTACAAGGCAGTTTCAAGCAGCCAATGATGTTAAGGGAAAGAACTCACTGAATGAAGACTGCCGTTAGGGTGCTTGTGACCATGCTTCTCCATAGATTTACCACCTATCCAGAATTTCCAAAAATCATATGATTGCAGAAACATTAAAATCTTTAACACCGAGAGAGAGAGAGAGAGAGAGAGAGTAATCATAAACACACGAGTGACATGACAACACTTTGATGAGAAGCAGTGGAGTTTCTTCCATGCAACAGTCTACTACAAGCATAAACCAGAATATAAGTGAAAATCAGTTTGCTCGGATGACAAGTCATAGCATGTCATACTTATTTAATAGATTCTAGCACCTCAAAAGTGTGGCAGCAACCAGTTGTATGAACCTGATCGCTCGGATGACAAGTCATAGCATGTCATACTTATTTAATAGATTCTAGCACCTCAAAATTGGCAGCAACCAGTTTGTATGAACCTGATCACAAGAAATTTTTTTAATGGATTAACTTTTTGTGTTGATGTGGTAAAAGGTGCACATATGCCAAATGTGGACTACAAAAAGGTCAGAATATTTTAGACAAAATGTTAGCTTGTCAAAATTGTACAGTTACAGATGGGTTCTGGATATGCAGAGGTCTGATCTAGAGGTCCCTTTTTGGGCCAAAAAGTCCTCCATGGCATTTGCCTCACTCCGTGTGCTTAAATGTGATTTGCAGTGGGAAGAAAATCTCAATAATTTCATCAAATATGCTCTCAAGGTGCCACGGCCAAAGGGAAGATTTGTTCACCCTGCTGATGACATTTTGCAAGTCTCCTTCTATCAACAGAACAGATACCTGATCCCTGTCAAAAAATTTGAGACCTGTGAGCAGTGCATGTGCTTCAGCTTCGGTTGCATCTGAGAAACCAAGGGACCTGAAAAAGTAGCAGTAAGGTGCCCATAGGATTTGTATAAACACCTCCAACACCAGCCCTGCCAGTGGAGCCCAGTGAGCAGATGTCAAATTAAGCTTGCTGACTCCATTCTCAGGTGGTTGCCAATGAGAGGATCTAGACTATGTCATTGGGGTGGAACAAATGATGTGTTTCCAGTTGTAGCTGAGGACGACCAAGGAGTAGGAGCTTAAATGCTTTTGGGTTTGGGCTCAGAAAATGCTTGTCTATTTTTAGGTGATCCTTGAATGACCCAATGTTGTTATCTTTCACCTCAAAGATATGCCTGTTTCTTTCCAGCCAAATGAACCAAATGGAAGCGAAACAGCTGACGTGCCACAGCAGGAGGCCTGTGACAGGGAAAACGAGGAAGAAAAAAAGAAATATCAGAACAGCTGGATGGTCGAAAGGGTGTAGCCCAAATCCATCCAAAAAGATTTAGGATGAGGGACCAGATTTGTAAGATGAAATTACAATGAAAGATGGTCTATAAATTCTTCATGGTCCTTACACATGGGATACGTATTCGGCAGGGAATGCCTCGCCACTGGATGTGGTCTTGAGCAAGTGCCGTGTTCAATAAGACCAACCAACTAAAGACTGTTCTTTTGGCTGAACAACGATGAACCAGAACCTTGCAGGTGGCACCATGACTCCATTCCATTGGTTTAGAGTCTTGTGACAAAGAGGAAAGTGTAAAGAACAATAACTGGTTGGGCTCCATACCATTTAGGCAATGCAAGGTTAGGCATATGGCCTAGTCAAGCCACCCAGTGCTTAGGTAGCAGCCTAGAACCTCAGGCGCCCCGAGGTGACATATTTTAAAAAATATGCACAAATGTGCTGTCCAAACATGCATCTATGTAAATATTTGGGTCAGTTTTGCATTTTTTTGGATTTATATGTAATCTAACTAACTTTTTTATGTAAATATATATACATGAATTTTGGAGCACATTAAAACTTTAAATCACGAAAATTTTGATTCTTTAATCACTAAAATAGTGAAAAACATAAACAAGTCCAAAGTGGATCAGTGTCCATATTCCATAGTGGTACGCTCCATACTTATTAGTTTGTACAATCATCATACATATTATAGAATCCAAATCTCCAATAAGACTATTACAAAATGATGAAATATAAAAGATGGGACACAATGCAAAAGAAAAGAAAAAGAAGATCTTTGATTCTTCAGACCAACAATTTAATCATCATCTTCATTCATTTTTCAGCGTTTAAGGTTGGGTTTTTTCACTTTGGGGGAAAAATCCCCTGAAACACCCTTTTCCCCCTTTTCAAATTTATTACAGCCCAAAAAGGCTCACGCCTTGGGCGCGCGCTAGGTGAGCACCAGCCTGTCTAGGCGTCTGCCTGGTCTGCTTGGGCAGGCGCCCAGGAACTGGAGCCCAAACACCCCTGCCAATGCCTAGGCAAGGCGGCCTAAGGCACCTAGGAGCTTGCAAAGGGTCTGGGTGGGCCGTTTTGTTGAACATTGAGGCACTATCTACCAAGGGCGTTTGCTCTATGGCCTCTTTTATTCCTTTAAAAAATGATGCTAGTTATACAGTCTCGCTATCATCTAGTTTGCACCTAAACCTTGGTGTCCATATGCTTTGGCTGTTGAGCTGCTCGTGGTAAAAGGAAACAATGGTTAGAGCCTACATGGAAAAGGCTTGGGAAACTGACCTCCAATGGTTGAGAGTGCAGCCAAAGGTTCTCCCAAAAGTGCAGTCCCCTGTTTTGCAGTCTAGCAAATGTCTTTTGAGAAAGCTGGGAAGCTCCTAATGGCTTTCCAATCACCCAAAGCCTGGGAGTTGCTCTCCCTCTGGGCAGCAAGTAACGGCTTCATATCTATGCTTGACCACCTCTTGCTGAAGGTGTTCATTTTCTGTAGCATGCAGCTATCGCCACTTGCGAAATAGAGCCATCTTGCCTTTTCTAAGGCTTATTGTACCCCCCGCCCACCATGGTTTTTGGGTTAACATATTATTTCCCATTTAACCTAGTAGAATTTGCGCGAGACTCAAGTTGGGTTTATGTGGCCTTTAAAGGCCTTAAGCGAGATGGTATAAAAACATTTTGAAGAAATGAATCATAAACTTAGTGGGAGTGTGGTCCTCTTGTGGACCATACTTGGCAAATGCAATTTGCCGATACTCGGACTAGGCTCGATGTGCTAGGCCAGCCAAGTTGAAAAACCTAAAGTATTGGGCATAAAGTTAAAACCAAGAAGGATTTAGTAAGTTAGCCCTTGATGAAGTTGAAGTATGCCTACATGAGAGTCGAGGGACTGTGTGACCCTTGTGTGTGATGAACCTACATAGATAGCCGTATTGAGACAGAGATCCATTATTGAGGGTGAAGCATATGTACATGTGCGAGAGAATATCCTTATGCACCATAGAGTCATGGTTGCATCATGGTCTGGAGGATCATGGTTTGTCTCTAGGGGAGAACCTGAAATCTACAGACTGGGATTACGTCCCCTAGCTTATTGGCTGACTTTGGTGATCCAATCATTAGCCTTTGCAATGGACTCTAGGTCATGGGAACTGCTGGGTCAATTTGAGAAAGCTGATGTGGATCATAGTCCACAGTTGAAGGTGTAGTGCTCCTATGTATTAATAAATTCCTAAACCTATACAGATCTGATTCCTATCAAAATTAATTAGTTTTAATTAATTTTATGTTATATGATTTTTAGAATGTTTATTTACTTTTTTTGTGATTCTTATGATATTTTAATTATGTCATTTGGATTTATAAATTAAGAGAAAATCAATTTTCAATATTTAAAATATTCAGAGTAAATAATATTTATTCCTAAAAATCTTAAAACCTTTATTAATATTTTATGTTCCACATGGGGGCCCATGGGGGTCCACCATGCTTACCCATGAGGTGGTACATGGGGACCACCCATGTTCACCATGTGTGGCACGCCCCATTCCAAGGAGCATTACCTTCTAAATGTGTAAGCCTTTTTATTCAAGGCATGTACTTTAAGTAAGGTTTGAAATTAAAAGGTGGCTTATAAATCAAATTTAGTATATCTTGAGAATCAAGGTTTTTTAATTGAATGAATAAGGAAGAGATATTCACTAGAAGAGAAAGTAAAGAGACATTTTCCTTCTTTATTTTATTTGATGGGAATAGGTTTAGGAAGGTGAGGATAAGGTTCTAGCACCTTCCTTAGCATCTTGATGGTGGATCTAAGGAAAGGGTGGCTCACATCTCTCACCCCATAAGTCTCCCTAGTTCGACGGTCAAGATTTGATCCTACAAATTGTGGCAAATCCTAATGCATGAAAAATCTATAAAAGAGATCTTTTCCTCTCATGATCTCTACACCTCTTATCTCTCTTTTCTCTCAAGAATTCCCTTTCTCTCTCTAAGATCTCTAGAGGAGCACGCTCTACATAGGTTCTCTCTCTCTAAGAAACCTAAGGGGCACGCCCCATCCTAGCCTACCTCTCTCTCACACAAACTATCTTAAGGGGCACGCCCCAACTTGGTAAGTCTCTCTCTCTTGTAGGTTCTAAAGGGCACGCCCAAGCTAGGCTAGGCCATTCTCTTGGTGGGTAGGAAAAGGGGAGCACACCCCTAGCTAGTACATCTCTCACTCTCTCTCTCGAATTTCTATCTCTCATCTCTCAAAGGTGCAAAAAAAAGGGGCTTGAATAAGACTAAGGTATTGAAGCTTTAGGTGATTGGTTCTCGATCTAGATCCATATGCATTAGTTGGGTTTTGCCATAAAAAGGAGAATCAAGAGACCGATCAAAGATCCCGAGCACTATCGAAAGGAGGTGACTCGGCATGGAGTGTATTAAGCCCGGTTGAGGTAATCTCCGACAATTTTACTTCTTTAAGATTTATTTGTGTTATGTTCTTTTCCCATAAAGCAAAGAGTCTAGGCTTTTGATTATTGCATAAAGAATTTGTTTTTAGGTGGTAGCAATTGAGATCGGATTTTTCTTTATTTATTTATTTCAAGAGAAATTTAACGTAATTGGACATTGTAAGTGATCTTGCTATTGAAAGAAAAAGAAAATTTTAAAATATATACACCGTGCATTATCACATAGTCCATCTTTCATTGGTATTAGAGCTTGGATTCTTGTTACCTCTAGGCTTTCTTTAATTTTCTTTTATTGAATCCTAGATTGCTTTTGAGAAAGAGATAGATGGCCCGCATGCACTTTCATCTCCGAGATCCTTAAAACCGAAAGGTTTGATGGGACCAACTACTCCTCATGGAAGCGCAAATCGAATATGTGCTTTATGAGGAGGGGTTGGATGAAATTTTGATTGAGCATCATCCTCCTCGTACAAGAAGCGATTCATCCCAAGCTACTAAGGATGAATACGCTACTTGGAAGCCCAAGAATATGGGAGCTAGGCATATCTTGCTTTGCGCGATGGTTGACTCATATGCATTCGAATATGAAGCAATTAGCACGGCAAAAGGGATACATATGAGACTTGAAAGGGAGCATGCGGATCCATCCCTTATGAAAAAAGCCAAAGCCATAAAAAAGTACAATGAACTTAAAATGAAAGGGGGCACAAAGATGAACTTAAAGGAGCTGTCTATTAAGCACCAGTCATGACCACCATTCCCCTACACATCAAACCTCTGGGTTTAGCCTCCAAAATGTTAACAAGCCGAAATTATATTTCTGTTAAATAAAACTCAAACTATTTACTGAGAAAATCCACTACTACTATTAAAGTCAAAATCGTTACTGAGAAAGATTCCATAGCTAGTATTAGAACATCTATCATGAAGGACGCAACCCCACTCAGCATGAAATAATGAAGTATCTCAAGCAAACCATATGAAAAAGAAAACAGTGAATTGTCAAGAATTTCAATGTAGCTGTATGTTATCTATAGCAGTCTAGAGACTTCCCAACATGACCATCTTGTGGAGAGGACATAATATAGTATCCACAACATAAGGCAAGATAACTACACATAACCATCAAAATAGATTTCCCCTCAATAAAAACCATACAATCAATGAAAACCAGAAAATCAAATATTATAAAAGAAGTTCATCACATGCAATTCTCATTTCTTTTGGACAGATTTTACATGAATTTTTCACAAACATAGAATAGCCAGCATTACTTATATCATGCTAACTCATTCAAGAAATAATTTCATTGATTTTTTGACTAGTAATTTTTTCTCTTCTTTAAGTTTAAGTGCTATATATATATATATGTGCTTATAGTTTAGTTTCCCTTCCACTTTTCTTTTTTTTGAACAAATTTTTAATTTTTTAATTTTTAGCTCTTTTTTAGGCTATTACACGCCTGAGTTACTTGCTCCGGCTGTTGGCTCAGGCAGGGACAAGTCCCAGAGCCCGAGCTGAGTAACTGAACCTCTTGCGAAATGCACAATTTTATGATTAAACACTAAAGACTAACCAGTACAAATCAGATGAAAACCAAAATTTCATTACAAACCAGGTGAAATGTAAAGCACAATAGAGAAACCCACTGATTCTGAAACATGGGATCCAGATTATAAATAAATAAAAATAAAGGAGAATTAACAAAACCTTCATCTGACTTCCTGGAAGTCCTGCTACTCTTACTCTTCTCCTTATCCTTTTTGTCCCTCCTGCTATCACTACGCTTGCTGCTCTCCTCTTTTCTCTCTCTCCTTCGGCTCTTTCTTTCAACATCATCTACAGTACCCAGAAACCCCACAATTAGCAGTAAGAGTAGAACGAAACTGAGAATTATTACCCTAGTTCAAGCTAAGAAGATCAAGAATCTCAGAAAAAAAAAGCAGTGGAACAAGAAACCCTAGAACTAGAACATAGTCTGTGTAATTATATGCAGTGTTTTCTGGTTGGAGGGAGAGAGGACCTGTTTGTTCTTCAGCGTCGGAATGGTAACGCTTCTTCTTGGAGCTGCCCTCACTACCCATTTTGGTTTGACAATGTTTCTCCTGCTCCGCTCAGTGTCTATATACCCATTTCTATATATATCTCATGCATTCATTTTCCCATTTAAAATATCATCCATTTATCAGGAATTAAAAATTGACCCCAGTATATTGTAAAGTATACTTATATTATTTTATGATGGTTTGAAAATTTATTTTTATCTTTAATTATATAATTTTAAAATTAGTGTAGATCAAACAAATATAAGAACACTTGAAAATATTGAAAATTGACAACCTCGATGATGCATTACAATATACACTATTTTTAAAACTTTTAAAATTTTTTCTTTTTTTTTTTGTACACTCAATGCCAGGATGGTGGGATATGAGGATTTCTCAGCCCTTAGTTCGAATGTTTACACGTCAGCGTTATATAAACTTTTTCCCTTCTTATTTTTTATTTTTTTTTATTTCAGTCCAAAATGCCATATAGTTTAGCTTTCAAAACCAAAGAGAAACTAAAAACGTTCATATTGAAATTTCAAATCGTTTTTTTTGTGAAACAAGCTATTAAGATTTTGAAATTCAAAAACCAAAATTTTGTTTGAGTAAAAATCAATTTAATTGAATTTTGGTTCAGAACTTCAATTTTTCGACCTGAGATGTCAATGGTTTCAATTTGGATCTTGAAAGTCTTAACTGACTGCATTTTGGGGAAATAAAAAAATTGAAAATATGGATATGAGCATAAATTACAATATTTAAAAGATAGATTGTTAAATCCAAAAAAATAGAAGAATATAGTAAAAAATTTGGTTTTTTTTTTTTTATAAGTTTTGAGTTAGGAGTAAAAAAAAATTTAATATGGAATCTAACTATTTATTTGGGTTGACAATGGGGCCTGCCAGCTTGTCGGCCTAGCCCTAATAAAGTAGGCCTAAGGGCCGGACCAGTGCCTAGCCCCTAACCTAAGGCTCTGATTGGGATGGGCTAGGCATGGCCCTGAGCCCGAAGGTCATCCCATCCCTATAGTTTTTTTAAATTTTTTAAATTTTTTTTGTTTTTTTTCCCCTTATAAAGCTTAATTTGAATCTTTTTTTATTACCAGTTTTCCCACCTCTATTCAAAAGCAATCTCCTTCAAAAATCCACTTTTAGAAATGATCTTTAAACAAATTTTACATAATTATCTCGACCATGATCGTGAATTAAAATAAAAGAATCCAATCTCGAAAATAGATTATTTGAGACTTTGTTTTTAGACCATTCATCACCACCCATTTTAATTTTTGCATAATTTTAGGCTACATTATTTTTTAGTTGCAGACTCATGAATCAAAAGTGAGAATGCATCTAGAGTGACTTATGTTCAAGATCCTAAATCCATCTCTATAGTGAACTTTTTAGAAGTGAGTTGGATTGAACATGACCCAAATTTTGATAGAATTTTTTGTTTAATCAGTATTCTCAATTGACCCCCACTTTTAATGTACTAATCTCTAAACCAAAATTGAATGATACTAAATAAATGAAGAAATAAAATTATAGGAACTAAATTTTAAAAAGATTTTTTGAGAAAAGATAAAATACTGCGTTTTGTATAGAGCTTAGGCTCTAAACAATTAAATTAGAGCTACCTTCAAATAGTATCAAGAAATGTGGTTTCAATATTGAAAATTTTTATGAAAGCCTTAAAATATTATTTCATATTTATTTATAAAGTTTGAAGCTTAAAAAATAGTGTAGCTTGACCGATCTAAAAAAAACTTAAAAATCTTGAAAATTGATGATAAAAAAATAAGTTACAAAATACACTATTTCTAGAATTTTAAATCCAATTTTTTCTCATGTCCATGCATCTTGATGTCGAGATGATCAATTTGAAGGTATTTGAGCATCAAAACAACCTCTTCTAATGAAAATTTTGAGATAGGGTCAAATCTGATTGATTAGAGGCTAGCTCTATATAAACTTTTCCCTTTTAAAAAATCTTTTGAAAAACCCAAGATTCTTAATGAGTTTCAAAACATTGCTAAAAAATAAGTCATATTTTAATCGGAGACCTATGGAGTAGACAAGAGGTGTACTTCCCTGAGAATTACATGCATACTACGATAGCCAAGTGCATGTACTGTTTTACTCCATAAAATATTCTTAACAGTTCAAAAAAAAAGAAAAACCTTAAAAACTAAACTGAGAATTAAAGATTTGTCACGAGCAATGGTGGATTTCTCACTAGCAGGCATGTATTCTTGCTCTTTGAAAGATATTCTCACCAGAAAAAAATTGGTTTCTAGCTCTTTCGAAGATAATCTCACGAGCAAGCTCTTATTTTAGGCTAGAGAGAGAAAGAGTGAGTTTTGGTGCCATAGAAGAGAGAGAGAGGGAGGGGGGTGGGTGGGAGCTATTAATGGGAACTCTCCCCTGTTTTAGCCCATTCCTCTCTCTCTCTTCAACCAAGATTCCTTCTCTCTCTAGAATAAGACCCATCATCGCCATGTCCTCCAAAGCCCCTGATACACCAACAGTGACCACATTAATGGTTACTTCTCCTCTCTCTAAACCTTTGTTACCAAAACCCATTTGGGCTAAGCTTGGTCAGAGGCTCAATGTTGCAGGGATGTTGTCTTTTTTGGCTGTGATTTTGAGGGACCAAGAAATGGCTCTTCCTCACCTCAGGGCACAGGACTTGAGGTGGGTTAATTGGGCTGAGCTCAAGAGGCAGGGGTTTGAGGGTGTGGTGTTGGATAAAGATAATACTCTCACTGCTCCTTACTCTTTCTCTCTCTGGCCTGGACTTGGTAGCTCTTTGGACCAGTGCAAGTCTGTGTTCAAGGGAAAGGTCGCTCTTTTCAGCAACTCCTCTGGTACTCCCTTTCTATATATCTCTTTCTCTCTCTATTCTCTCTCTGGTTCTTGGCTGGTTGATAATTCTGGTTTCTCCATTAATTTTCTTTTCTTAAACTCCTAAATTTTGTGCCTCTGTTTGCTTGACTCCACTGGTATTTTCCCCTTTTCCTTTAAGAGTTTTTATCTTCATCATCATTCTCTCTCTCTCCACAATTGAGTTGAATAGTTGTTGTATGCATAAATTGCAGGGCTCTTGGAGTATGATTCGGATGGATCGGAAGCGAAAGCCTTGGAGAAGTTGCTTGGAGTGCATGTGATCAGACATGGCAAGTAGTACATTACATAATGCCACTACTTTCCCCTTCTCCTCTCTGTTCATCCCTTCCTTTGTCCATCATCTTAATTGTTTTTTTTCCCCTTCCCTGTTTCCCATCCAATTATTCTGTGAATAGCTGAATTTTGCTTTAACTTCCTAAGAAACTAATTGCATGCGACCTTCCATTGTTCAATTTCTGTGAAAATTGAACTATCATTTTCCAAATAGGTATGATTGAATTTAACTTATTAAAAAAAAGAAAAACTACAATTCAAAAAAAAAAACCAAAAAGAAAAACTTTTGTTGCTCCAAGTTCTCACTGGCGAAATTTCAAACCAGCTTAGCCTATTGGCCCGTCTACTTGGGCTATCTCGACATGAACATAATAAGCAGCAAAGACAAAGAAAAAAAGAAAAGAAAACGAAGCTAAGAATGTAAAATAAAGTTTTTCTGTATCATGTATTCCGTTTATATCATCATCATCATAGCCTTTACCCAATTAATTGGGGTCGGCTACATGCTTTACATTTATATGTAGCATATTATGTCCAATTTTCCTCTCTCAACATAACTTCCATCATCTCTCCACAAGAGTTCAGTTACTGATTGATGTCCTACTGTTCCTTTCCATAAGGTTAATGAATTCATTTTGAATCTTAATCCTTCTAGAGAAAAGGTAATGAGAAACTACTGGTTTGTTACTTTCTTGGGCCAAAAAAATAAGCTATGCATTGTCTATAGAGTTGTTTATCGATCTTCTAATGATGAATAAATTATAGAAGTTATTCTGTCCCATTTCTGCCGACCCAGATTAGCTGGGATACTGTTCAGATGGTGATGACGATGAGGATTTCTTCTTATTTCTCACTGTGTTATGTAAACAGGGACAAAGAAGCCAGCGGGTACAGCTGAAGAAATTGAGAAGTACTTCAACTGTGAGGCTTCTCAACTGGTTATGGTAAGAAAAGGAATCTGGGACTCTTTTAACTTTCACTGCCTTTCAACTAATAACTAACTGTTTTGGTCATATGTCAGGTTGGGGATCGCTATTTTACAGATGTTGTGTTTGGCAATAGAAATGGATTTCTAACCATCTTAACACAACCATTGAGCCTGGCTGAGGAGCCTTTGGTTGTGAAGCAGGTGCATTCTTCTCCTTCGATTGAGTACTGGCGTTTTTTAATTGACAGCCATGTTCTTTTGGATGCGATCACAACTAGTTATTCCCTTTCTTTATTTTTCCCTTTTAGAGAATCTTAGATAATCATACACTGGATATCAAGAACCTGGCTTTAAAACTTGGTTGGTGTTTCACTCTAAACATTAAATATCACTATGGTTCCAATTGTATGAAGAACTTAAACATATATCATTGAATTCTTTTAGTAGGTTAGAAGCATTATGAGCTATTCTGAACAATGAAATTGATGATTATTTATTTCTCAGGTCAGGAAATTGGAAGCTGCTTTAGTGAGTTCTTGGTATCAGAAAGGCTTGCAGCCAAGAAAGCACAGTCGGCTCTCTGATGAGAGTTGTTGTGTGCAAGATCCAGCTTCTTAAGCTACCACTATATCTTTGTCGCTTCATATTCATTCGGCTACCTCAACTTGGTGGCCTGTCTCAACATCAACACAAAAAAAAAACTCGGGCGGTCCTTTTCTAGCATTGATGGTGCTTCTGTTACTGGAGAGCATGCCCAACCATGATAGCCACCTACTCTTTTATGGTGAGCATGCATATATGTAAACCCATATATGCATACATGGATGTGTCCATTCACATTAGCGTTTTCATTTATGCATGCATGGTCATCCATTTTCAATTTTTGGGGAATTGGTGGTGCATCTGCAGTCTACATAAACAGCATACCTGATTAACCAGCAGGTTCTATAGAAGTTGATAGTCCTTTCTCTTTATTAGTTTGTAGAAGTTGATGTTATTTTAATGTAGACAATTCAAAGTTCTTGTCTCATTTGATGCCCAGCAATTTAAACTCTTATCAGTTTTTATTCAATCAGTTATTTGAGATTGTTATTTCTTTGAGATTATGATCTTATGTAACTCAAACAATTTCTTATACAGTTGTGCAACTCAACTATTTTTTATACGAAGTGTAACAAATGGTCTGAGCTTTCTCTGTGTGCCATCTTTGTGACATTGTCTCTTGTTTTAGATTTCATATATAACTAATTATGTTTACTAGATGCTAACATTAGTGGAGGAGTTGTTTTTGTTTTCCTTTTTCCCAATCAGTCATGCAGCACCGAGCTAAAATACAAAGTTAATCTCAAAAATAAAGCCTGAATAAATTTTTAGATGAGGGCTATTTGTCGCCTTCGTTTGACCATATAGGAGGGGAAAATGGCCTACTTCTTCTGATCCACACCATTCATGGGCACCTCCCTTTGGTGGCCCCAGCTATCGACAAATTGTAACCAAAACATCTCTGCATACTAAAACAAAAGATAACTGCTTTTCCCTCTTTATAAACAACTCCCTTTTGTACGGTTGATAAGCTGTGATTTTCTTCCTTGGTTAAGTTGATTTGAGAAGGGTAAAACAAGTTTTTATCCTTGATTTGGGAGCGCTTGGCAGCATTTTCCAACAGGGGAGAAGAACTGGTTTTGCTGTGTCATTCATGCTTAACTGGATATGACCAAACACTTTATAAAACTAGTCACTAATGAGCAGGGATGAAAATGTTATTGTTTGTGGCTAAATGGTCAATCCAAACTGGACCTCTCTCCCCCTCTCTTCAGATACCATTTTTTAACCCTAGACAAAGGCTAGTCTGGACTGCCCCCCTTAGGACAATTCATAAATGTACCAATATGGAAGGTAATAAATAGATAGGCTTTTCAGTTTTGCGATAAAAAAATCACAATCATTGATTGTTAGAGGGAAATTGGGTGGTTGGAAATGTGCTATAGATTAGGCACAAAATTCAAAATAGGATTTCTCGAATGTTGTGATACAATTTAGGATTTTACATCCAAAGGTTGAAAATGATTGTGACCTCCTAGCAACATAAATAAATACTCTCAAGTTTTTTTCACCTTTAAAACTTATTTTATGAGTTTTTCATGTATAAATGGGTATAATGGCAAATCATCATCATCATTGTCAAATCTTTTCTCCGCCTAATTGAGGTCTGCTAAATGAATATGATGGAAAATGATTTGTGAAAATTCTCCCACGTAAGCATCAAATGAAAAATAAGAAAATATGTCCATACCAACGCTCAATGCTTTTGAGCTGATTGTGATATTCTATAAAAAACTGTTCAGTTTCAGTGTGACTCGTATTATTTAAATTTTTTATAAGAGCACATTCCCTCGAGGTATAGTTTATTTTGGCAAGAGACCTATTTGGAAGGATTATTTTTAATATGAAATTTTAGAAACTATTGAAGAATTACTAAAATAATTATTCTCAAAGAAAAAGAAAAAAGAAAATTAAGTTTTTTAACACTTGGATCTTACAATCTAAAAATTGGATAGCCTCTATTCAACCTCCAGATATTATTATTTTCAAGTGCATAAAAAAATACAATTAGGTTTTTTTTTTTTTTGCAAGTTAATTAAGAATTTACATCTTGTCTTAAAATTACTTCTAAGTGGAGTTTTTGGACATTGTACTCCAATGAGAGTAAAATATATTTTAAACTTTTCCTACGCCAATAAGGAAACGTCTGTGTATAAAGGTCGACCACGAAACACAAAGAGGGTGTTAATTAAGTTTAGAGTGTTCGGAATTACTAATCTCTACCTCTCTACTTTTAACATAAGCGAGCCTGTACTATGCTCCTGCTGGAGTAATATTGTTCAACTACGCGTTAGGGTAAAAAACTCACTTTGGAGGATTTTTTTAATTTAAAATTTTGGGAACCTCCTAAGAGTCACTAAATAATTATTTTCAGAAGAAGAATTTTGAATTTTGAGTTTTCCATCTCTCCCTCATAATATTGGACGGTATGTGTTCATTCTTAAAATATTATTTTTTTAGAGGCCTTGAAAAGCACAATTTGGAATTTCTTTTTTTTTTTTTCCTACATCTCTAAAATTTGGGGTCTTGAAATTATTCCTACTTTAGATTTTACGTCAGGGAGCAAACGGACAATACGATCCCACAGGAGTATGAAATCTTTTGGCTTAACAAAATAGCAGGAGTCTGAGTGTTTCTGGCCTTACAAGATGGGCCGCCCACAGCACTAGGGGTCTGGCCCTTACGAGATGGGCCGGCCCACTGCACTGGGGTTCAGGCTCTCAAAGAGGTCCTCGAGCTCGCCTCGAGCGACATGTAGCCTGAATTGTTTGGGCCCAATTATGGCTGGGCTGGCCCCCGGGGAAGCCCAACCCTTCTCATACCCGAGAAATTTGCAGCCATTTACATGTAGGACAAGCCCAAATGATTCGGCAAGGGCCTGACTGTAAAATATTGGGCTAGGCCTGGGCCCGGGCACACCATGGCCAAATCAGCCATTCCATGGTCTTCATCATTCAATAATGACCCCCCCTTTCATTACTTAGATTTTACTCTTGATCTCTTTATGCAAATTAGTCCTGATACTCTCTTTCTATGCCCTTACAAAGCATGATTCTCTCCTTATGGAAGGCTAATGGGCAAAGTTATACAAGACTAGATAGTGGCACATGCCATTCTTATGCTTATGTATTACAATCAAATGGTAATTTATTCAATATTATTTCTACACTGTTTTACTTTTAGAGCAAACTTCTTATGAAGCCTTCAAAAATTACTTATTTTGTAATAATCCCTCCCTTATTTGTCCTATTGTGGCATTAATTTTTACAAGTCTGTATCATCCCACCCGTCCTTATATCTCTCCTCTACCCTTTATCCTACTTTGATCTCACGAAATATTTTTACTTGAATATCTCTCATTTGCCGCTTCTAGCTTCTATTCCTTTTTTTTAGGGACAAAAGAAAGAGATTTTGGGTAAAAATTGCACATTTTATTTGGGGTACGTATTGAGATTAAGATAACAAAGGAATACAAGTGAAGTAAAAAGAAGTGGAGTGATCATGATCATCCAAGCCTTATTCCAATTATTTGGGGTAAGCTACATGAAATATAGTCTTCCATTTTTCTCTATCAAGAGTCATACCCTCAGTAAAAGCAAAAGTCACTATACCTTTTCTTACTGATTTTCCTCTAACCTTTTTAGAGCCTTTTAATTGAATCAAATTGTACTTTTTAACTGGTGTTGTATTAAGTCTATAATGTACATGGCCAACCCATCCTTAGTCGACTTTCCCTTATCTTATTGCCCATTGAAGCCATAAATAAGTTCCCTTATATGTATTCATTCTATCATTTCTTATCTTGCCACTTATCCATTTCAACATCCTCATTTCAACTAAGTACATCTTATGGATATATTGTTTTTTGACCGCCCAACATTCTATCCTATCAAGCATGGCTGGTCCTACAACCATCCTATAAAACTTCTCATTCAGTCGCAATTATATGCGGCGATCTCATAAAACTCTGGATGTACATCTTCACTAAGCCTACCTCGCTTTGATTTCTTCAATCTCTCTATTATCATGAATTATCGACCGTAGATATTGGAGGAGTGGAATGACATATATTTTTTAAAATTCTGGCTACAAGATAGGAAATTTAAGAGAGGTGGGCTACCATGAAATTGAATTTTCTTTTAAGGGACTCCATAAAATTTTCCCTTATTTTCATTTAGGGAAAATATCTTCATACCCCATATTTTTAGGTTTCATTTCACAATAGACCCAATGTTTTAAAATATATCTTGAGGCATAAAAATTGTAGATTTTATTTCTTCTAACCTCTTGAGCTACTTTAAACCTGTTTTTTTGGGCCAAACATATCTAAAAAGACCTATTGTTTTTAAAAGTTGAATTGAGCCCACCTCTCAATAGAGAGTAGAGATTGTTCATTCTCTCTCTCGCCTCAAAGCTATTTCCGAAACTTTCTCTCTCATCCTTAGTTCTCTATCTCTCTCTCTCTGATTTCACACCATTTACTAAATTATCGAAACCTTCTCCCCATGAGCCGAGTTTAAGGGTGAAGCATGGAAATCAGTTATCCCTTAATACCAAGTCAATGGGTAGCAGTTGTTGTGGGGCAATTTTATCTCATGTCGAAAGAGAGAGAAATTATAGGAAAATTGGGTCTCAATCAACTGGTTCCCTCTCTGCAAATCAGCTCTTGGAAGTGGTCGAAGCGATTGCGAAAACTGGTACTAAGGTTGGTTCATAGGCTTACCAACTCGAAGTAGGGTTGCTTGGTGGTAAGAGGTTACTGGAGAAGAGAGAGAGGTGTTTGGATACACACAGGAGGAGAGAGAGTGAAGACAACACGAGAGAAAAAAAAAAAGTTTGAAGTATATAAATGAAGAGAGATAAGGGATTGGGTTTAGAAAGTGTACGTCTTTCTCACATTTGTTTAAGTTAAAAAAAAGGTTTAAAGTGGCTAGAGGGTTGAAAGGTATTTTTTAAAACTTCGGATTTATTAAAAAATAAAATCTAAAAATAACAAATATGGAGATATTTGCCCTTTTATTTATATTTATTTAAATTATTTCTGATATTCCTATTTTATGTAACTATTTTCAACTTAATTCCATTGTATGCTCCTATTTCTTAATGTTTTCAACTTAATTCCATTAGCAACATTAGAAGGAAGAAAATGCCTAGGGGCATTGTCCAATCTCACTCTTAATTGTTCAAGTATTGAATTGCATGGAATGGAATCCAATTCGAAAGGAGGTAACAATTTTCATATGTCAATAGGGAAAGGACTTCTGATACTGATTCCCTAGCTAAAGACTCTACTATGATGTAACTTTCTCTTTGTATTTGGGCTTATTTCTCTTATTTGGGGCTACTGCACGAACAGAACACTATACTTTTCATTCCAATGAAATCTGATACTGATTCCCTAGCTAAAGACACTACTATGATGTAACTTTCTCTTTGTATTTGGGCTTATTTCTCTTATTTGGGGCTACTGCCCCAACAGAACACTATACTTTTCATTCCAATGAAATCTTGTTAAAGAGAGAGAAAGAGAGTTCTACTGGGGTATTTTTAAAGAGAGAGAGAGTGAATGGGTTTTTACTGTAGAAGAACGTGCGGTTAAAAAGAGTCACATTACGCCAAAAATAGAAGAGAAAAGAGAACGTAAAGACATTTTTGTTCTAAATCCATAGACTTTTATATTGGGGAGATAAATATAAGGAAAAAAATTGTTAAGATTTAAAATGGGATACAAAACGTTTTGAGGGGTAGGATGTCTAAAAAATTGAATTAAGGGAAGGGAAGGGAAGGGAAGGGGGTATTTATAATAATAGAATCATTCATTATAGTTGATCCAAGAAGTACTCTGACTTCCAAAAAGTCCTGTTGTAAACAAAATAAATAGAGGACTTAATAAACCCATCCAAACAACGTTCTACAAAAACGGAAAAGGACAATAGCTTAATGCATTTTAAATGGATTCACTGCTGAAGTTTAGCAATGCTGGAACACAGCTACACATCAATGAACAGTTACCACTAAAGGAGAATAATTAGACACATTAATAGTTATAATAATAGAATCATTATAGTTGATCAAAGAAGCACTCTGACTTCCAAAAAGTCCTGTTGTAAACAAAATAAATCGAGGACTTAATAAACCCATCCAAACAAAGTTCTACAAAAACGGAAAAGGACAATAGCTTAATGCATTTTAAATGGATTACACTGCTGAAGTTTAGCAATGCTGGAACACAGCTACACATCAATGAACAGTTACCACTAAAGGAGAATAATTAGACACATTAATAGTACTAGAAGTTAATTTCGGACAAAATTTGGACATTTTTCCATACATTAAACATCCTTTCCGGCTTCCATTTCTCTACACAACTAGTAAAGCAGTGATATCATCCATCCAGTCCCTCAAATTCTGAAAGCAACCTAAATCTTTTCCATTCTGCTACAACCTCAAAATGTTCAGACAAGGAAATGGACACACAGGCTCAAAAGAAACAAAAAAGGCCTAACCCACTTATTTAGTATTTATTGCTAAAACAAAAGAACTCACTAAGATTTAACCATGCGCTATTATGATAATTTACACAGCAAAAAACTATGTACATTTGTATAAAGAACTAGCTTGCCTAAGCCCCCTTCAATAACCACATTAGATATTGCAGGAGTAGATTTGGAGCATGTTCTCACTGACACAACCGAGTAAACCCATTCCCAGAGCATTTGAATACTTCAAATCGAGGACTGGATCCTGGTGTGGCCTAAGGCGTGAGACAACATCTAAAGATTGCATGTCCCAAACACAAACCCTACGACTCTCTTCATCTCCATATGCGAAGAGTGAACGGTTATCTTCCAAGGTAATTATTGCAGACTTTGGCATACGAACTGAACTCACATTACATGACATGATTCCTTGCCTTTGATAACTACCATCCTCTTCCATTTTGAGGAGAAAATGGGACCCTTCTCTCCAGGAAATTTGAGAAGGGGAACCCATGGGTTGAGACAATGCATAGTCATTGGACATGGAGACTTTGGGTCGAAATGTAGCAACTGTACTTTTGGTTGAATTGCAATGGGCTAGTGATATACACACACCTTGATCTTCAAAGCCAGGAACCAAGCAAGGCCTGCCAATGTCTCAATGTCAGGGTTTGTGAAGTTCTTTTTGTCACAATCAAGAAATAATTTCAAGTACAACATGTTTCATAATACGAATTTAAATTTAAACTTTCGTACTACATATCTAGAATACCAAGTACATGAGATGCAGGGAAAAAGGTTTCACTCTGGCAAATTGGCATATAAAGAATTAAAGTAAATAACTTGTATATCCCTTTCACTTGATACAAAGTCAACAGTTTTTTAAAAAAAGAAGAAAAAAAAAGAAAGAAAAGAAGACAATGCTATTGTATTATTTTCTCTGGCGAGAAACCCTAACACAACGGACTTATTGTCTGGGTAGTAGATGGTTCTCATAAATGTAACAAGATAAAAACATCACGAAAAAAGAAGAGCAGTGGCAAATTTAGATATATCAGTTTTGAAATATTAAAATAGCTGTCTACATGCATGTATAGCCAGAATACGTGACATTTCGGTTGAGTATATAGAGTACCAAAGGTATGAGACGAATACTTCCAACCACAAAAATAAGGGAGAAGAAAGAGACAACAGAGCTATTCGTTTTTGTATACTTGTGAGGGGGCAGTCTTTGTATCACATTTTGTATAGGGCCAGTGGGTCTATTCTTGCCCACCAGGGGACTCTCATTAACTATTTTAATAATATTTTTGTTAACACTCAAAAAAAAAACGAGACAACAGAGCTACAACAAGAATGATAGAAAAAACAACATGAGAATATGTGGGTGTAGGAGAGACCCATGTTGAAAGTCCATCGATCAAAATGAGGAAAAAGCCAAGTCTTAGCCATAGAGTGCAGTGAAAAAAACAATTAGAGAACATCTAAACGTATGACCAGCCAGGGAATATAAGAGAAAATTTAAGATGCACTCATACACATGTTTGTTAAATATACCTTTCTGTGACTCCAACTCTCCACAAACAGGGACCAATTGCAGAAGCACTTAGAAGTGATCTAGCATTGTATGTTGAATTGTGGAAGAGAGCAGGTGTAAGAGAGTGGACAGTATGAATTGGCTGACTAGACAAACCATAAATGACTTCGACCGCTTGAGCAGTTTGCCGTAGATCAAACATCAAGAGGCTTCCATTCTGCAAGAACGAAAAGTACATGAAAAACCTCCCTCTTTTCCACAATGAAGCATCTAAGACCAAAACAATTAACCAACCTGCAATCCTGCATAAACTTGACTTGGATTATCTAAGTTCCACGTACAGGACCAAGCAGGGACCTGGAAATAAGAAAATATCAAATATGATGCTGCTCAAGGAAATCTTAACCACATCACTGCATCGTGGTGCAACACATTTATAACCCCTGACAAGGATTTCAACTTTGATATGCCTTAACAAGAATATATGTCTTGGACAATAACCACTACAACACTAGCTCAGAAAATTATGCGAAAGAAGTGAAAAAAGCTTAGCAATCATTAACCAGTTCTGAGAAGAATTTGATGATTATTAACCACAAATTTTCAAAAACCCCAAGAATCGTCATGCCCTAATAGCAAAATGCCCCAAAAAATTCAGCAAAAAATAATTATGATTTAGCAAGAAAAGATAAACAAAAAGGGGCCAGAAACTGCAATATGCAGGGTAATTAAACCACCAGAATGAACAACATTGAAAGACTAATACAAAAACGACTTCATGAAACATAGGAACAAATTTATCCAAAATTATTAGATGCTGAAGCAGAAAAAAAAACCATGCCGTGAGGCTAGAAATAGACAATACCTATTAATTTTAAACCTGTTAAAATTTTTTTGAGACATGGTGGATACTTGGTCAAGAAATACCTAAAAGAGATTGCATTTCAGTCAATTACCATACACACCCGATCTTGTACCTCGTGATAACTTAATGAATCCAGGCTTTCCATAGCTGTACTCAACATTGAAGGTCAGAGTCCTAAGGCAGGGCTACGTAACAGAACATTGTCAGAGGGGTAGAAATCGGTAAATCATATGGAAGTTCTTTTGATGATTGTGCAAATCACGTTGTCAAATGGATGTCTAGTTACAATAATACCTCAAGCACCTCTTTCTAAATATTCAATCACATCACCAGCCCGCCAGAGTTCATCAGCATATCATCCAGTTACGAAGTTCCGATCCACCAGAATCTATGAAATGTATCCACACAATTTCATGCCCATTTTTCCTCCTCTACAACTCACATGTAATTTGGGTACTCCAAAGTCCAAAGGATAGACAAATCCTCAGCAACTAATGACACTTAAAGCACCTTCCTTGGTTGCCAAAGGTTCATGCCCATTTTTCCTCCTCTAGAACTCACATGTAAGTTGGGTACTCCAAAGTCCAAAGGATAGACAAATCCTCAGCAACTAATGACACTTAAAGCACTTTCCTTAGTTGCCAAAGGTTTCAATTTTAACTAAATGAGATATACACAAAATCATTTATAGCGCATGTGCTGTCAATATCCTTAAGTAACACTAACATGACATGATTTGAAGTGGAAAACTCTCCTTTCGTCATTACTAAGATTCCCCCTCTTGCTGGCCTTCGATGGCCCCATTCATGTCTGCTATAGTAATGTGTTTGATAGCCTGGATGAGTGTGGGCAGACTCCCATACCAGTAGCCGTGGAGTAAAGGTTGCAACCACAGCTTCCATCCACTAGCAAAAATTACCCTACAGAACTCCCATACTTGGCCGAGCCACAAAATGGATAATCTCTTGTAGGGCATCTTTCACTCCAACAACCAACCAAACTTTGGCATCTTCCACCAAAGTTCCTTCCCTAAGGTCTCTAAATATAAACTATTTGAAGAAATAATAATAACTGATAAAATTTGTTTATTTTAGATTTTAATTTGTTTTACGATTTCTTTCAGAACAATGTCCTGAACAGTCTCAAATAAAGGAGTTACACAATACCCGTCACATATCCCTACAAAAGATACTTTTCTAGTCCATAACCCAAAAACAAACAAAACATGCAGAAAAATATAAAAATTTACAGTATTCATTCTCCAATTCAGATATCAGAATGGCTTCAACCCATACTCACGCTTGCAACCCAAACTCACTCTTTGCAAGTGGTTCCTTAAATGTTCCTATCCCATCAGCAGGGCCTTTGATACCAAGTTCTGTTTACTTCAAAAATTGTGAAGGGTGATGGGGGGGTCAGTTGTCGCTGTCCTTCCATTTTGGTTCAGCAACATACTGTGAAAAGTTTAGGGCATTTTTCATTCCACTAACACAGCTCTTCCTCATGATCTGCCATCTTCTACCAGAGTTTCCCCTCTGTGTCAAAGAAGCATACAGCACTCAATATTCCCCCATTGAAGTACACCTTCCTTTCTTTCTTTTCCTTTTTTATTTTAATATCACCTTCCTTTTTCTCTACCCAAAGAGAAACATCATGGTTGCCCATCTCAACTGAGAAATTTTCGTTCTCACATGCACTACAAAGACCGATTTCCCAAAGATCCGTAACATTCCTCTTAAAATTTTGTGAGCTTCTACTATATCATCCACATGGGCATGTCAAATAACCCTAACATGCTCCAACAGACTATAATCAAGCCCTCTAAAGTTCTATACTCAGTTGTTAGTAGAATATCTTTCAAGCAGCTTCTCAGTAATTGTCCATTGAGCTATGACAAGTTTCACCCAGGCACGATGTACATTTTCCATCCCCAAACCTTTCTTAAAAATAATGGGATGGTGAGGTTTTGCATACCACGAATTTCTTTTATCTGAATACTAAATGTTCCATATGGATTGACATGAGGGCCGCACTTGTCACCCTTCTGGATGATGACTTGTTCATCCACACAAGCCTAAAACCTCATACCTCTCTGAGGGATTATAGCGTACTTCCTGTGTAATAATAGGCTCCTTAATGATCCCAAAAACAACACTTAGCATTCCATGAACTAATAATAGTCTCCTTAATGATCCCAAGAACAATACACAAATGTGCACACACACACACACACATGCACAAGCACACATGAATACACGCATACACAGACACAGATACAGATACATATGCACACACACATGCATGCATGCGCACATAGACTTACTTTCCCATGCAGCATGGAGTCTTTGCTATGTTACCCCAATCCAGCATGGCTAGCTTTTTGCATATAATTTGCCACATAACTAACCAAAGGACTTGCATCCCCGTATAAGAACAGAAACAATTATTGATTTCTAATCACATGAGCTTTCAGGGATGCTTTGGAGAGCCTTTTACTCGATGTTGTCCTGTATGCCAGTCCTGTGCCTTGATGAGACACTTGTGGCAACTAGCAAGTATCTACCCAAGTCACCAAAAATCCTTTTTACGATTCATACAACATTACAACCCACACATAATGAACCCTCTTTGTTACCGTCTGATTACTGATACTACAATCCCAAGCTGCGTGAGATTAATGCTCTTCTCATGCCTGTATTAACCAATTTGTTTAGGTTTCTTGCCTTCCTAGCACCTGACTCTTCTGCACACCAGTTCCACCAAAGCTTCAGAAATATGACCAGATTTGAAAGCTTGAAGATAATGAAAGATGGGTATTTTATTACAAAGCAATTGATGAAGATAAACAATTTTCCCAATACATAATAGGTCTTACAAATCATAGAAAATATAGCAAAATATAACCTATACTAGTAAATTTTTTGACTTTGAACAAAGTTCACTAGAAATATAAGAAGCATAATTAACTTTAAGTCTCTAAATTACACGTAAGACAAATTTAGTCAACATGCAAAATCTCTGAACAAATTCAAAAATTACATAACCTTTTTTGAAGACTCAAAATGACAACTGAAAAAATGCAATAGACCTTAATGTTTAAATCCCCATTCAACCAAAGGAGAATATTATAAAGAAAGAGTTTATCGCAATATTTACATAAATATTCAAGGAAAATACAGTTTGATCTTTTACCTGTAAATCATACTTTATAACAACATTGTTGCTCTCTAAGCTGCAAGAGCAAAGCAAAAGGAATGAACACTAAAAGCAACAAAAACAAACATTGAATAAAACTTGATATTAGATATTCTTGTATTACAAAAAGGTGCACCTGACAATCGAAAGTTTCTTTCCCATGGACGCCAGAAGTGCAAGCCGACCAGGATGAACCATTGAAGGAGGTGAAATTTGCAGATCTCTAACAGTGCCCGTATTAGGAGGAAGATGCACCCGCTCGCTCTCAGATAGAGCTAATAGACTCCTCTGCAAAGAGGACCTCATTTATATCATCTAAACACCATTGCGTATATCATAAAAAAAATTCTACTTTTCAAATGGGGGCAAGGCAAGAAATAGTTTAAATAAATCTAACAATCAACTTACTTTGGTGAGAAAGTGAGTGCCTCCCATTGCAGATTCCGAGTGTGAAACAAGAAGCACTTGACTAAAAGCATCCATGTCAATAATTCTGGCTCCATTTAGTCTAAATTCCTCCTGTAGCCAAAGGTGCAAAAAACGCATGTCCTCAAATTAAACTTGAATTGCAGTGAAGGAGAATAGACCACAGAAGAAGCATGAAATAGAGGACACACAGGCCAACAAGAAACCAATGCATTCTCAAAATGGCTTAGTCTGAACAAGCGACCAGACAAAATTGTCTCAAGAATTTTAACAGTCATGGTTCCATAATGTTTCCAATATAGAAACAATATGTTAAAGGTAAGCAAATTCTGGAAGATGTTTCGAATCCTCACAAGACCAATGAACTTCATCATGATACATAACATTAACTTTCCTCGCAAAACAATATAAGATTGATTTGGAAAACACATAAAATCAAATGATTTGTTTTCGTAGAGAGTTCATGTCAGCTGATAAATTCAAATACAAAACAGGTTGTTTGGATTTAAAAGTGCCTTTTTACTAGTTTCTCCATCATCACTAATGCAGGTCTGTAGTGGTATTTAAAGGTCAAGCTTCCTTTCTATTCAACATCATGGTGAAGTAGCATGATCCTTAGGAGTTGTGCGACATTAGGTTGTATTAAAAGCACCACTATTCAGGTAAAACCAGTGTTTAAGAAGGTGGTCCACCTTGGTACTTTGAGGTGGCCAAGGCCCTCGGCGAGCAGCTAGGGCAGGGGCCCTTCTAGGCACCAGCCCAGGTGGCCAAGGCTGCAGGCCAGCACATTGGCCCTAGGTTGGCGCATAAATGCCCTTGCCAGCGGCTCGACAAAGGCCTAGAAGCAGGGACCTTTTATACAGTTCTCCACACATAAAAGGAGGGAAAAAGGTTTTGGGGGATATTCTAAACCATCCCACCCACCCCCCAAAAAAAAGAAAAAAAAAGAAAAATAGAAAAAGACAAAGAGAGCCCATTGTAAACCTATAAGAAGGAGAGAAACCCCTCTAAAAAAAAAATATGAATCTAGATTGACAATATTTTGGGTACTCCCAAATTCTGAATTCACAACCAAATGTGTCTCTACACAACCACCATGTAAATTCTAACTCGCAAAATCCACTTTAAAAAATCACCGAATCCCATCAAATGAATCAAAATAGACGGATTTCCAGTAAGCAACTATTCCCCTAGGTTCTTACGATGCCAGTGTTTCAAAAAGCGGAGGCGGCTGCTTGGGCAGGGTGTTTAAAGGGGTTGTTCATGGGGAGAAGGAGGGGATTGGGAATAGTGAAAATGATCCTACTTCTCTTTTCCTTTTTTTTTTTTTAAGTTCTGAATATAGTGAGACCCAGCCCACTTTTCCTTTATTATTATTATTTTTCCTCTCTAATTAACTTTTAGAAATGTGGTCACTTCCAGCCTATTTTCAGCCTACATTTCTTCTTTTAATACTGGCAACAGTGAAACACAACCTGTTTCTTTTTTACTTTTTGTTTAAATAAAAAAACCCAGTCACTTCCGGCCTACATTTCTTTTTCTATTTTTTTTTTAAATATCGGGAATGATGAAACTTAGCGTGCTTTTCATTTTTCGTTTAAAAATAAAAGCTTGCACTTTTGCTTCTTCATTTTCAAGGATGGTCAAGGCAGGCCCCTAGAGCCCCGATTGGCCCTATCTGCCTGCCTTGCTCCAGGCAATGTGCATTGTGCAAACCAAAAAGAATAGAAAGCAATTGTTCGGGAGACTTGAAGAGGTGTCAAAGGAGACGTTTTCATTACCAAATCATCAATTCGAGCCAATTTTCACTGAGTTTCAAAACGTATGGCTTTATGGTTTGGTGATACTTTTCATTATTAGATTCTGGATGTTCTGATTGTCAAGATTGGTTTTTGTTTTTGTGCTTTATTTTTTCTGAAATTGGGGAAAAATATTACTACGATAGTAGTTACAAAAGACCTCACAAGATGTGAGGGAGAGGGAGCCCACACATCAGTTGCTCCATAACCCAAAAAATAACATCCAAACATATACTCCAAAAATGGATTCTTGGTATCCCACAGGTCGGGAGCTCAAGCACTATTGTTTTTGCTACCATAGAAGAGAGAAATATTTACATTAAAAAATTTCGAAAAAAAACAAAGAGAGAGAGAGAGAGAAGTGAAAGAGAAAAAAGAGTGGAGAGAAGAGATGTAGGGATGAAACGAAGAGAGAATTGGGTGTATAGGCATTTTAGGAGGGTGGAGAGGATAAGAGCTAGAGATGACATAGAGACATTGAGGTAGAAAGGAAGCAGAGAGAGAAAGGTAGGGGGAAAAGCCAGGAGTAAGAAATACAGATAACAAAGACAGGATTGAGAGAGAGAGAGAGAGAGAGCATAGAGATGTTTGCGAAGGGAGAGAGAGTATAAAATAGGGAGGAAAGACAATAGGGTGAGGAAGTAGAAAGTAAAGCCGTACTAAAGAAAAAAACAAGAACGAGACAAACTTCAAGAGAGACGGAACAAAAGAGAGAATAGACCACAGGGTGAGGAAAAGTAGAAAGTAAAGCCATAGTAAGGGAAAAAAAAATTGTTTTGTTGGGTTTGTGTAGCCTTTTAAGCCTTGACACCATGTAACTCATACCCTTACTGCTGCTTTGTTAGCTCCAGTTGGTGGCTCCCCTCTCCATTATGACTTACCAGGCCTAAGTAGTCTGGGCCCCAAGAGAGGTGTCTTTGTGTCGTGGAAAACCTTGATCATAGGGTTGGAGCAGTGCCCCGATTGTTACTATGAGGGTTTAAGAGTAATCCCTTAGTGAAGGTTAGTGTATGCCCATGGCCGGAGCCAAGACAAAGTATTCACACATGGAAGAGGCGCCCTGTGAGGACAAGGGCCAAATCATTGACACACCCTCATCTTTGGGATGTTCATATGATAGTTGCGTTATTTGAGAAGCCGCTTTCCTCGGAGAGTGCCTGGCGAAGGAGGTGCACATGTGCATAGAGAGGAACTCCTACATCCTTGGATGATGGTCAATGTACTTGTCATTGGTGGTGCACATGTAACCCACTAAATCTTGGATTCTCACATGCCCTTGTTAGAAACTGTGAATCATGGGTCTCATTGGATTGATTTTGAGAAGTGGTAGAGGATTTCGGGATAAGCCAAGTGGAGTGTCCTAGATCTGTGATTCTAAACCCAAGGTGCCTAATTTCCTTTGATGATTTTTCTAAGAGCCTAAAAACAATTTAAATTTATTAATTATAGTAAACAATGAGTTTTGACAATTTTTGGGAATTTTCTAAGTGAAAAGTGGTAAAAAATAACAAATACGAGAATGAGAAGTGAAGAACTAACACGTTGCTCACTTGGTGGGCCACTAAGGATAATGTGACATGTGGGCTACGAACCATTCTTTCATTCTTGTGTTTGTTGTGTAAGGACCAATGTGGTACTTTGTGATTAAGGCACATTTGATGAGAGTTGAGGGGCAAGCCTTGGTCATTTCACCCAAGATCAAAGGGCATTTTTGTCTAAAGTTCATAGCTAGACACATCAATAGATGGCACATCCCATGTGTAAAGTAAGCTTGTCTACATGCCTCCTTTTAATTCATCGCATGTGCGAGTTGGTTAAAGCTAAAGAGAGAAGATGCCCTAGAATATCCTCTCTCCTCTCAAGTGAAAGGAGAGAGATGGTCCCCATGAGTGCAACGCCCCTCTTTCTCTCTCTAAATTTTTTCCATTTTACATAATGTGTAATTAAAATGCGGAAGATCCACTTAAAGTCCTCAATTACTGCACTCATTGAATACTTTTCCGTAAAAGAAAGCCATACAATTATTAAGTATAAATTTATAAACCAATAAACATAAGGGCAGCAATAGTTAGATCCCCTAAAGGTTTTTTTTCATATGTTTCAACAGCTTGAATGAATTTAAATTACCAAAACACTGTTCCTGAAACAATCAATTTGACCTCAGGCTTGGGCTAGGGGTTTGGACTATCATTAGACCTAGAGGATTGGTACAAAATTTACAGACACCACAACTCATCCAGAGGAGGAGACACAATATGTGTAGACGAAAGTGAAGGTAAGCAATTATTGTTTAGCATAACATTCATTACACATTTGAAGTGCACATATAGAAGATTTCATAAACATCACTAACAATAATTTTTTCCAGCACAGACAATAATTATCACCATTGTCAATAATTTAAATGCATACCTTCATAATAAAGCTAGAGAGAAGGGGTCCCCTCATAGCAAAACAAGATTGCGAGCCGACCGTGTCTCCTGTATGCAAGCATGTAAAGTTAATGGAAAAATGTTTGGTGAGTCGGCCGACTCACACTATTCTTGTGCGGTCTCCCTCCAAAATATATCTTAAAGATGTATTTTCGATCCAAAATTTTCGAGTCCAATAATCTCATCCATGATAATGATCTAAATTTGGAATTTTTCTTCTTTTAAAATATAAATGTTATTTTTTTAATTCCTCTCTTCACCGTCCAATTTAACTTTTAGTGGACGTAAATTTTTTTGACATCCATCTTAAAGATGGACGTTAGATACAAGGGACCGCAGGGTAATAGGTGAGTTGGCTGACTCACCAAAACCATGTCCAAAGTTAATATACACATTTATTTCTCAAAATCAACAATATCAGAAGCATCTAGGTAATAAATGAATATGCTAAATTCCAAGTAAAAACCAACATAAAGAAAAGAAGAGAACAAAATAGATGATGATTAGTCAGTAATAAACAAGTCAAGAATGGCTTAAAAAAGGTTATAACCCCACACCTTTATAGTATCTAAATAATATCAATGATCAAATTTAGTGTTTTTCCTTTCAAAAGTAAAGCTCACCACTCAACCTTTGCATTTGACACTCCCTTTGATCGTTTGCAAATCCATGTAACATTGTCTGAGTACTTGCCAATGATGTTTGAAGCTTCAGGCATTCAGCTCTCTGTAGATTAGTTACAATTATGACAATAGAAAAGAATTGAGTCCCTAAAACTTCATGAACAACTAAATTAAAAAACAAACCATCACCATGAGCTACTAGAGCCCAAGCGATCAAAATTATGATTTCAGTGCCACCAGTGCTAGCACAAAAGCTCCACCTGTTTCTCGAGAGCTTCTTTATCTGCTTGTTGCTTCCGCTAGACATAACCAACAAGCACCAATTAGAAATTTTGCTCTAGAAGGACTGAAAAAAACTTAAAAAGCAAATTTATAGGGAAAATGTTGATAAAAGCAGCAAAACAAAATTCTTATAAAAGAAAAAAATTCAGATCTATGCGTGAAACATAGCCGCTCAATTCTACTGTTGAGTACAAGAGAAGAGGATAACCAATTTGAGTACCAAAATAATTCTCAAGTAAGAATCAAACACATTCAGCATCTCACTGTTTATTAAGTACCATATGATCCAAGGAATGAGTAAAAGATTATAACATGATAGGCATATAGGGTGGCAGAATTACATTGTTTAGCAGGTTAAAATTATATATTTTTTGACAAACATTTAAAATTTGAATTTGCTGGGGCCACAATAACCTTAAGGCATACAAAGTACAGCCATGGCAAATCATGGACGAGAAAATGGGGAAGCTTGAGGTTTCAGTACATCCAAAACATGCAAGTGGGTGTCCAACTTTGGAGAAAAAACATCCATATAAAAAAGGTATAAAAACAATAATCAAACAAACCACATATATAGATAACCACGAAGGCAAATAAAACAGCCAGAAAAAGAATGGATTCCAACCTTATATTCCTGTATTTCCCCAAGTAATGATTCTTTCTGCAGAAAAAACAAAACATCAACATCAGAATAACAATGCAAGACACTTGAATAGTAACCAATACTAGATCTAAGATATAAACTGACCACTAAATGCTTTCATGCATTGATCAATTTCTATTTTAGGAATCCCATAATACACCTCTCACAACTCACAGATACTGTATCATCCATTTTACAACCAATAAACAGTTATGGCCCAAACTCCAGCAGAAGACAAGATAACTCTCGATTGTTAAAAGAATTCTAATTTTCCTACCAAGAAAAAAAAAAACAAAAACTTTGGCACAGGACATGGACAGATATACTTGAACTTCTATCATAATAACCAAACCTTATGAACAAATTATTATTTTAATGAATGATAGTGATTATTCTAAGAAAAATCGAGCAAGCAAGAATATTACAAATTACACCGTGGACATATTTCACAATGAGAGGAGCCTCACAACCTTAATCCCTCCCTATTTAAACCAATAGCAATACATTTTTCTATAGCATGAAAACATTCAGCTAGTGGATGGGGAAAAGTAAATCCCATATTTCTTTGAAACCAATAAATCCCATATTTCTTTGAAACCAATACTCCAGCTACACAATTTCGAAGATTGTTGACAAAATTAAGGATTCATCTACTTATCCAAAAAAAAATCAAAACATCTGTTGTGATCATGGTTTAGAGCAACTACCAACACAGTCCAATCCCCTACAGGTAGAACCAGATATGCATCGCAGGAATCAATGTATTTGAAGTCTATGCTGTAACTTGTAGATTTTAAAGAAATTGCAACATGCAATTTTAGAAGAAATATCAATGACAAGTAGAATGCACTAGAGTGGCTCAAATCAATCTCAGCGTGCATGAAGATAAGATCATAACAAAGGTATAAACTTTGAAACAGACACCTGGATGGCAAAAACAAAATCCAAACCCATTCATAAAATAAAAACAAAAGTTATCAGAAAACCTGGAGTCCAATAGACATGGAAATATGCAAGGAAAAGAAACTCCTGACATCCCTTCAATAAGTGCAAATCTAATTTAGTTTTGCATTTTAACAAAACAAGTGTATACATTTTTGCTTTCAAAAAATATGTATACAATTTTGCACATCTCATAATTTAATGGAATCAGATAAATTTTTTTTTGCAAAACTAATGTAACAGATTTTTCTTCACTATTTACAGAATGAAAGGGAGCGAGGGGGTAGATAAAATATGGGGTCTGAAACAAATCAACATGTTCCCAAGAAACATCACCCTTGCTGAAGCATAAATCCCATGTGAACATGGAATAAAATGTAAAGTTGGAATTTCCACCATGTCATGGACTTGAAGGGGGCGGACATAGCATCTACACATTGAAACAATCCAATCTGCGAAGCACACTAGGCTACAAATTGCCTCAAGTCCATGCAGGTAGGAAGAAGGGCCAGCTAATGCGAGTGGGAGTCGGTTAAGAATGATTGTCAACCACGCTGACAAGTAAGGTGTGATCTTTTGTCCAGATCAAGTCTTCCACTCCTAATAAAGCAGCATAACTTCCAACAGTCTAGAGGTTTTCAGTCTTGTATTCTTGACGGCACAACCAAAATCCACAGGATCCCACTGCCTTTTAAGTTCCAACGAAACCTGAGCTACAAGAATAAACTATATGTGGGCGAATCCACCACCACAATGGTCACTTGTAGGAGGGAAGCCATTCAACATATAAAACCAGGACATTTGAAAATCTCCTAATCCAGTGACCTATATATCACCCTTTAACTATCCAGATAATTTCATTTTTATGGACAACAGCACACAATAATCTACCATACAAACAGCAATACCCACACAAGTATCAGCCTTCAAAGATGTCACTGTTACTTCCCTTCCAAAATCTCCATAAAGCAAATTTTTGGCTGGGTTAAAATCTTCATAAACCTATCATTATGCAAATCCATGAAAGAGAATAACCAAACAAGTTGCACGGTAACCAGATCCATTCCAACACCAAACCATCTGAATTCAGTGGCCTCCGCAGACAACTTCAAAGAAAAAGCAAATAACACAATTCAAAACTCTCAATGCATGACAATCATTGAGTTCAAAATGAGGTTTAAAGGGTATAACATGCAGAAGAAAACACAGTGTTTGAAGGCATGACTAACGATTTCTCCAGAAGAAACTCCGCACTCTGACCGAGAAAAAAGAATAGCAGCCTTTAAGTACTTCTGAGTGAATGGGTCTGTCCTATTTCCATGTGAATTACAAAAACCAAAGAAATATTGATAACAATAATGTGAGTTTGATTGACTCTGTCATGTCATGTGAGTGTGGTTAGGTGTATTGCCCCATCAATAGACAGAATTGCACTCTCTTTAATTAACAGTTACATAGATTATTGAGTTAGCTATTACAACAACAAGAAAGTGACACATTAATTAACAACTTACTGCAAGCGCCAAAATCAAAATATCGCTACATAAATTTTATCAAATCATACAATACCTGCAACTTAAGGAATTCATTTTCATCTCGAAGAGAGATCACTTCCTGCCAATTAACAGGACCAGCAATGATATCAATGAACAAAAACATAATAAGCATTTCTCAGAGAAATAAACATTAATTCTCTTAATAAATGAAAATCTATGCAACCATACTCATCTAACCTGTTGTAACTCTCCATTAGCCACAGCAATATGTGGTGCATAAAGCTTTCTAATATCTTTGAGCATGCATTTCTTCTTACACTGTGGACACTGTAAAGAAAAACTAACAGTTCAACAAATAAAAGATGTAGCAAGGGCAGCATTATTAGCATCCTCACAAAACAAAAAGCTTGTTCCCTCACTCAGATCAAACAAATACAACCTTTCCATTATTTCTCCCACACTGTTGAATCCATTTTTCAATGCAGGACTGTCCATATAAGTGCCCACAAGGAAGACAACTGCAATCATGAAACATAAGAAAGTGATCTTTTCAGATGACAAACTATAGAAAAGGAAAGCCAATAGCTAAAGAAGCACCCAAGTGTGAAATTTTTTTCAAATCAATTGACAATTGCATGAGATATGGGAAGTACTCAATGCTTCACAATAAATAGACAAAAGAAATGGACACGAAACATATACACATCTATTGCAGGTTCACATCTCACAAACTAAACCTAGGAAACAGCAAAAACTCGAAAGACTGTAGAAATTGCACAGTCAAAAGCAAAATAAATTTTAAAATCATATTCATCATCATCATCACCATCATCATCAGAGCCTTTTCCCAACTCTTAAGGTTGTTTACACGAATCTTGGTCTGCCATTCTATTCTATCAAAGGCCATACCCTTAGCGAGGCTATAAGTCCCCATATATCTTCTCACTACTTCCAACCATGTCCTTTTGGGCCTACCTCTTGCCCTTTTTAAGCCTTTCACTTGAACCAACTCGCACCCCCTAACAAGCGCTGTATTGGGTCTGTGTTACACATAGTTAGCCCACCTAAATCTACTTTCTCTTATCTTATCACCTACTTTCAAATTCTATCCCTTCTTGTCTTGCCACTCATCCATCTCGACATCCTTATCTCAGTTACTCTCATCCTATGGGTATGTTGTTTCATGACTGCCCAGCATTCCGCCCCATAAAGCAAAGATGGTCTTACATTTGTCCTATAGAACTCCTCTTTCAGCTTTATTAGTATGTGGCGATCATATAAAACTTTGGCATTCCACCCCAAAAAACAAAACTGGTCTTACATTTGTCCTATAGAACTCCTCCTTCAGCTTTATTAGTATGCGGCGATCACATAAAACTGCAGTTGCATATCTCCACTTCAGCCACCCAGCTTTAATTTTATGTGCGACATCATACTCAATCTCTCCATTTTTCTAGATTATCGACTCAAGATATCAAAAGTGCACTCTTTTTGGTATTTCTTGGCCGTCAATCTTAACTATTTCCTCATCTTTACTCCTATTATTACTAAATGTGCATTCCATATACTATGCTTTAGTCTGGCTAATTTTAAAACTTTTAGATTCTAGAGCATCCCCCTAAAGTTCTAACTTTGTGCTGATGTCGTTTCGGATCTCAATAATGAAAACCATGTCATTCGCAAACAACATACACCATGGTACCTCATCTTGTACGTACCTAGTTAAGTTGTCCATAACTAAGATAAAGAGGTATGGCCCCAACGCTGAACCCTAATGTAGACCTATTGTCACTAAAAACTCACTCGCCTCTCCACTAGTTATTCGTACATTATTTAGCGCTCTCTCATACATATCTCTCATCAAATCAATATAGTGTCTGGAGACTCCTTTCTTTTCCAATATCCACCAAATTAAATCTCGAGGTACTCTATCATAAGCTTCTCTAGATCAATAAAGACTATGTTTAGGTACTTTTCCTTTGCCCCAAACTATTTAATAAGTTGTCTAAGTAGGAAAATAGCTTCAATTGTTGACCTTCCAAGTATAAAACCAAATTGGTTTTCTGATACACTCATTTCATGCCTCAGCCGTTGCATAATCACTCTCTCTCGCAGCTTCAAGTGTGGCTCGTAAGTTTGATCCCTCAATAGTTCGCACATAATGTGGCTCATAAGTTTGATTCCTCAATAGTTCGTACAATTTTGTATGTCTCCTTTGTTCTTGTAAATAAGCATCACAGTACTTTTCAGCCATTTGTCTAATATTGTCTTTATTCCCAATACCTTGTTGAACAACTTGGCTAGCCAGTCAATGCCGATCTCCCCATGTACTTCCAAACCTCTATCGGGACACCATCTGGTCTTAAAGCCTTTCCTATCTTCATCATCTTCAAAGCTTCTTTTATTTTTGATAATGTATCTATGATCTCTGCCCTCATTTATCTCAACAATTCCTTCTATGAATGTGTTCCGATTGTGTTCTTCATTTAATAATTTTTTAAAATAAACTCCACCTTTCGTTAACCTCTTCATTCTCACCAAGATCCTTTAATACTCCTCTTTATGCATTTAATATGGTCTAGATCCCTACACTTTTTCTCTCTTGTTTTTGTTAATTTGAAGACATCTTTTGTACCTTTTCTTGTTTCTAGTTTACAATATAGATTATCATATGTCTTAATTTTATTCTTGCTATTTGTTTCGCGGTTTTCTTAGTATTTTTATATTCTTCTAAATTTTGATCATTTTTATTACATTGCCAAGTGTTATAACATGATCGTTTTTCGCTAATGGCCTTCGAGTCTCATCACTCCACCACTAAGTTTCATTATCAAAATTTCTTTTCCCTCTCATTTTTCCTAGGACTTTGCCACTTTCTTAATACAATCAGTCATCTCATTCTGCACAACATTGACTTCATGTTCAAAGTTTCATTTTCTTTCTTTAACTAATTTATTCCTAAATAAGTCTATTTCTCATTTTCTAAATTCTACCACCTAGTTCTTAGACACCTATTAATTTGCCCTTCTCTTCCATCTCTTTATGCAAACATCCATAACCACAAGTCTAGGTTGCATAGTCAAACTCTCTTTTGGGATAACCTTATAATCTATACATGATAGTCGATCTACCTTCTTAACTAAAAGAAGTCTATTTGGCTTCCATGTGATCACTTTTATACGTTATTAAATGTTCATCTTGTTTTTTAAAGTAAGTGTTTGTTATTGCTGGGTTGTATATCATAACAAAATATAGAATAGCCTCACCCATTTCATTTCTTTCACCAAACCCATAACCACCATGTACCCCTTCATATCCTCTACTATCCTTCCCTTTTAAATTCCCTCTTAAAAAGATCATTTCTCCATTTGGTATGTCTTGGACTGGTCCATCCATGTCCGCCCAGAACTGTCTCTTAATTCTATCCTCTAGTCCTACTTGTCGTGCATAAGCACTAATTATGTTAGTTAACTCTTCCACTAATACAAGTTTAATTAATAGGAGCCTATCACCAACTCTCTTGACATTAACAACTTTATCTTTTAAATCCTTGTCTATTATTATGCCTAGGCCATTTCTATTATTATCCTTTCCCATATACAAAAGTTTATACCCATATACTCATATATTTCCTTAGCTTTTTTTGTCTTTCCACTTAGTTTCCTGTAGACAAGCTATGTTTACTCTCATTCATCTCATTGTATCCATTGACTCTATACTCTTACCTATAAGCACTCCTACATTCCATGCCGCTAGACGAATCCTATTTTCTTGGACTAACTTCTTTACCCACGCTCGTCCAAAATGTCAAGGGAACCCTTACCTATTTTTCACCATAACTGGGCAGCGCTAGGCGTATTGCTTTTAAGGAACGTCCTAGCTAACATTTTCATTTCTCACTGTACCCAATTTCTAGTCCACCGTGTCGCTTACAGGGAATGCCCTAACATAAGCAAATAATAGAGATTCAGGATTCATGCAAAGTTTTGGCAAAATTTTACGTTGACTGCCTACCTAATACAAGCCACCTCCTTCACCAGAGCTTGGGAAGCATTATTTAGCGTCAAATGTTTTGATTATTATGGAATCTAGACAGTCAAACACTATGGGCCTTCCTAGCTATTTTCTTATATTATACTAGCTATAACCTAGCTCAACTTCAAAGTGAAACTTGATCATAGTTTCAAAAAGTGCTAGGTGGGCCCTAGGCAGCCATGGGGGTCCAGGTCGCCCAACGCCTAGGCAGGCACTCAGAACCTGGGCGGCCCATTTGGAAAAAAATAAAAAAAATCAGACCATAATCCCAGTTAAAAAAAGAAGATAGAAGTTGAGAAGAGAATTTTGATAATTCATAAGACCATAATCCATATTTTTCATACAATGCAAAAATAGTAAAACCATACAAGCATACACTGATAGTCTGATACACTGCAGATTGTACACACAAAAGTTAGATAGTAGAACTAGAAACTAAAAATAAGAAAAAGAAAATATGCAAAAGTTCAAAAAATATATAGTCTAGGACAAAATAGTCAACACTCAACACAACAGTCAACACTCAACAATCATCATCATCATCATCAGAAGGAATAAGGTCAGCTTCATCATATGCATCAGAATCGAGGCCATCATCATCAGTGTCATCTCCCTCTTCAATATAACGCTCGTCCTCTTCTGTTTCTTCTGAATCTGCCTTTTCCTTAACAATCATCATCATCATCATACGGAATAAGGTCAGCTTCATCATATGCATCAGAATCGAGGCCATCATCATCAGTGTCATCTCCCTCTTCAATATAACGCTCGTCCTCTTCTGTTTCTTCTGAATCTTCCTCTTCCTCCTCTTCTTCTGCCACCGTCTTACTAATATGTGCAGATGAGGCCTTAGGAGTCTTGGCCACTCTACCCTTTTCTATCTTTTTGTGCTTCTCTGAACTCAAACACTGTATAATTTCTTCCCTGGTAGCCTCAGGAACATTTTTACACAGGGCAACATCCCCCTTAATACCGGCAAGGTGTTTTTTAAACCGGTAAATACCCCCATTACTATCATTTCTACAATAATTATATTTAATACGATTTTTGTAATTCGGATTCGGGTTATAACCATACTTCCAACCTGGATCACCACTTCTAGAAGAACTTGGAGAAGATATTTCCGTAGAAAAATGCTCATTGTCATCATTTTTTGGTTCTTTTAAATTCAAAAGTTGTCTAATCTCATCCCGAATAGCTTCAGAAAACTTTTTACAAGAAGCAACATTCCCTTTAATACCAGCAACGTGTTTCTTGAATAGGTTAATACCTCCATTGGTATCTTTTTCAAAAAAATTACACCTTATACAATTTTTTTTGTTTGGTTTTGGGTTATAACCATACTTCTAACCCAGATCACTTCTTCTAGGAGTAGTAGAAATAGATCTATTCAAATGACAAGGATTTTGTTCTTGTTTTAGTTTTACAAAACTCATATATTGCTTAATCTCCTCTCTAATAGCTTCAGGAACATTTTTACAAG